TTTTTTTTTGATTTTTTTTTTTTTTTGCAATCATGCACTGAAATAAATTTATACAATTCGTGTAAGCTCTGGACACTGGATCTGCTAAAAGGATAATCAGATTGTTCATTTTTTTCCATCTATTCTCATCACCAGATGCCTCTTTGAACAATACATAGAACAATGTCTCTCTTAGTTAACATTTTTTTTCTCTTGCCTTTCACTCCAGAGTTTCCAAGTGATCTCTTCAGGAAATTGTGCAAGTTTTTCAAAACAAACACTTTTTTTCATTTTTCAAATTTTGACTGTTGCTGACCTGCAGTGTCAATTGTTAATAAATGTTGCTACTTTCTTTAGTGTTCAATTACCTTATACTCCTTGTCACTGCTTCTCAAAGCAAAACAGTAAAGATGAATAAATGAATCTAAGCTGACAACATTAAAGATAAATAGATGAATCTAAGCTGACAACATTAAAGATGAATAGATGAATCTAAGCTGACAATTGCTCTTTCTCTGTCTTATCTATCTTGTAAAATACAGACATTACTTCAAAAAAGATGTTTAAGTCCTATGTGTGTCCCTTGGTCAACGTAGTCATGCATGACGCGTAGGATGTAATCGTCTTCTTTTTTGAAGTAATGTCTGTATTATATAAGATAAGATGGCTTAAATTCTGTCAAGTCATTGGTTTTCCTGGCTGGCTCAGGCAACTAGGGAAGAAGGAGCATTTGTAAAAATTTGCCCTAGCATATGGAACGAGGAATGTGCCTTTATCTTAGTATTTTTTTTTTAGGTTTAGTTTTTGTATTTGAAGATTATGGTTCAGTGTTTTATGTATAATACTTTACTTTTAAGTCATCTATCCTGAAGGGTATCAAAATTTAATGTATCTATCTGTATTTTAAGAATTAGTAGTTCAGTTGAACTATGTAACATTTTATAAAACCAATGATTCTATTTAAAAATTGTTTTCAGGGGAAAGAATTTGTTCATGAGGAGGTTGTCAATCCAAGTTCTATGTCTCCAGAAAAAAGAGTTTACAAATGTCTAAGTTGTGGTTATCTCTTTGGTAACTTGTCAGACTTGAAACGTCATCTCAAAATAAGACATCATGTCCAGATGAAAGATATTGCTGGCATGGAACAAATGCAGATTTCTGAAGTAGAGGTAACACTTTAAAACTAAAAATAGATTCATTTCTAACTCCAATGAAATATTCATAAAATATATTTCTAAAAATCAAACATAATGATTTTCTTCCTAAGCAATGATAGCTCGGTTGATAATACATTACAAACAGTGCTATTTGTAGCAAACGTTGGTAAAAGGGGCTATGATTACTATCTACTACTAATATCTGTTTCCTTAAAATGGCCCATGAATGAAGACAGTGCAAGTATTAGATCTTGTTAAGTTTCAGATGTTCCTTCATTAATGGACATTATTATTGATTAGCCCAACCGTCCTGCAAGGGATAACAGTGGTCAGGGTTCAAAGGTGGGACCATTGCAAACAGCTTTATCAGAAAATCTAGTGACATGATGGATAAATAGCTACATCTGGTTACATTCACTGCATCTCCGCCTAATAATATTCTAGTTGGCAATATCTTTTTATTGTTCATAACAAGCTGATACAGACTGCTCCCTTGTAGGGTCCATCTGATCTAATGGCCCCCCAATATCGACACTGTCATCATGGCTTCACACAACATAAAGCAGCGCTATGGCACCCCTGTAATAATGCAGTGGGTACTGAGTCACATAGTTGTGACTGGCACTTCCCCGTGGAGGCTGTCCAGGCCTGAGCAAGCTATTATAGCACAGTGCAGGAAAGACCACTGTCCTGTTGGCTCATATTTCTCACGGCTATGGCCAAATTTCAATTCACAGTGCCCCCACTGCTGGGAAGAAGAGGAAACCGTGTCTCATATTCTGTTTGACTGCCCCAGACTTGCTGATCTTCACCTCGACGGGTCTGAGAAACCAAAAATTCTTGACCTGTATGGTGACGTGTATGCACTACGCAAGACAGCAGGGTTTCTGTCCAGGGCTTTTGCAAGAGAGGATTTAAGCCTCTCAAGCCCTCACTCAAATGGAGTTTGATGATGATGATCTGATCTACTTCTACAATGATTTTAGTCACAACATCTGAACCTGTCTTGGAGGTTCCACACATCTCACTGCTGAGTGAGAACAAAGCCATTGATTGTGGGAAGCGTGGTCGAGAGGCTAAGTGCGCTAGAACTTTTGCTTGTCTAGGCTACCTAGAAGGGGGCTCGAGGTTCGACACCCGACTCAGGCAGAGTTGCGTTTACTGAGCGCCTAAAGGCAGCACGGAAAACCAACTCCTAGATACCCCCTCTCCCCCACCGGTCCACAAATGAGATTGGACCAAAGCGCTCTGAGCATGCTATAAGCATGAAAGTAGAGCTATATAAAAGCTATAATAATAATAATAATAATAATTAGCGGAGACAAACTGTAGTCTCATTGTGAATATGCTGCTTTAAAATAAGGTGAACCTAGCATGTCTGCTCAGGCTCCTCTTCAGCATTTGCATATTCCAAAGTTTCCTTGATGCTTTCTTTGCAACATCCTGGAGGTGCTTTAGAGTTGTTTGTCTTTTGTCCATCCAACAAAAATTTTGACAGCGCTTGCAGCTTTAAGTGGCCGTCAAATTTTCCTATCCCTGGAGGAAGCCATCCATGTTCTTTTGCAGATAGTTTGTTGTGTATCTCTCTATCACATCTTTATTTTGTACTAGGTTGTACAGTATGAAGATGGTTCAACAACAGATGTACAACCACCCAACATTCTAGCTAAACAATCCCCAAGTGAGGAACAAACACAAGGTTAGTAACTCTATACACATTACAGTGATGAATCATTCTGTTAGGGGATGATGACCCTAGGAATTGATACAAATTAGACAAAGCTGACATCTAGCGACAATTGCTTTTAAATGTGTAAAAAATCACAGGTTAAAGTTTTGTTTAGGACTTAAGAATATTTTTACTTAGGATATTATTTTTTGGACAAAAAATTGTTTTAGCTTAAAAATTGTTTTATGCAAATGTATCTACAAGATCAATGGCACACCAGAGTATCTTAATCATTTAATTTCTTTAGACAAGCATCATCATCATCATCATGCTGTTGCATAGCAATACTTTTTATCTGATTATAGTAGAACTATTACAATGACATAATTACTTTCCTTTTTGATCTGTCTTTATTTAACTTTGTTTATAACTTTAAATTAGTCAAGGGGGCTAATTTTGTGTTCACTTGTAACAAACCACTTCATCACTTGCTCACCATGAAATCCCTACTGCAGAATGTCTGCATTCTTTTTTTTTTTTTCATTTTAACATAAAAATAAGACTTATTATTGTCATTAACACACATAACGAAAGTACTCACTGGTAATTTCTTTGAAACTTAATTGTATGCTTTTTTTTTTGTCTGTAATAATGTTTGTGTAACAGGAGTGAAATCATTGTATGAATACTTTTTTTGACTGATCCACTCTGCTCTCTTATAATGTTTGGTATGACTTGCATCATTAGGTGAGCTACAACTCCAGATTCCTAACGAGGATGGCAGCTTGTCAGTGTCAGCTTCTTATATTTTACAGCAGCTTATTGGAATGTCACAGGTAGGATAAAGTCTCTAGAGACATATGACATCAAAGTTTGGAAGTAGACTCTTAAGAAAATCGACACAAATAGAAAACAATTAGTAATGAGAGCAGTATTTGAATACTTCAGCAACGATTATCTATGGAGTATTTTTTTGGGGGGTTTGTGAATGCCTTGAAAAAGACACTTATAATAGTTTTGTGTTAACTTCAGAATGGAGAAACCAAGTTGAGAGTTGTCAATGAGAATGGACAGCCTTTAGATATAAGTGTTCAGCAAGATGGCCAGTTCTTGTTCACCAGCGGATCTAATGAATCGCAGCCTGGCAACCAGTTTGTTATTTACTACAATAATGAAGAGATGGTTAGTTATATAGTTAATTTCTCATATTTCTTGTGTTAGTTTCAGTTGGTTCAAGGATATATTCCTATATTTATCATCAGGTCAATGAATTTAGGAGGTTTAAATATTTGTGTTGATCAATCCACCCTTAGGTAGGCCAAGTCATTATTTCTTTATGAGTCAAACCTTGTGTACCTGTAGCTTAAATATGTATTTTTTTAGAGAAGACTGGGATTTTGAACTTTGTGATTTTTAATGTGTTCCCGACATACATTGGGGAAGTAATGGCTGGCCACATGACACCCTTGTTAACTGTCAGCCACAGAAACATAATGAGCTTTGCATCATCTTCCCCCACAGATCGAAAGATCTAAAAGGTGTACCTCTACTTTACTTTTATTTTACTTATCATTCAGCCACTAAAAGTGTAACTTTTTATTATTTGATAGGTTACTTATAAGACAACCCTTTGAAACATTAAGCCTGATCAGGTCTCCTCTCTTCTTTGTGTCCAGATTTTTTTTTTATGCATGGTTTAATTCTTGAATGTTTGTAGGATTCAATAGTAGAAAAACATCTTTTCAAATTATTTCTCCACATACTACTAAGCTTATCAGTTGGTAGTTGTTTTTTTTGTTTTGGCATGCTTAGAAAAAAAAAAGATTTCAAAAGGCTATGGATATATTAACCATTAAACTTGTTGATTCTTAGCATTATCAGGTGAGATTGAATAGAAAAGGTAGAACATCAAAGACATAGCATGTTCTGTTTTCCTTGATGTGATCTGCTCAACATTTTCCTCTATACTTAAATATTGCCTTAGATCAGTGGTTCCCAAACTTTTTTTTGTCTCGTAGACTCTTGGAAGTCTTCCTAGACCCCTGAGGGTCTGAATAGACCACTTTGGGAATCACAGCCTTAGATTGTATTTCTTTATGATTGTTGTAGTCTCTAAACAATTATTGAAGAAGGTATTAGAATTTTTTTTTTTAAATTATTGAAGGAAGTATTAGAATAAAAATATAAAAAGTAAAGTTCCCCTTTCAGATCTTGCGATCTATAGAGCAGATGATGTAAAGATCATCTGTTTCAGTGGCCCATGGTTAACAAGGATGTAGTGTGAACATCCGCCTTTACTTTTCCTCTTCTGTTAGGTACCCATTAGAGCTGAGTGGACTCAAGAGGTGCCCTTAAGATCCTGAAATAAAAAATCCCAGTCTTCACCAGGATTTGCACCCGGACCCCCAGTTTGGAAGTCAAGCACTTTACCACTCAGCAACCGAGCTTCCAGAAACAAAATATAAGCTTAATGTTTATTTAATGAGTATTTAAGTTAATTAGAAGATTAACTGGTTAATATTAAAAGAAATTCTGTCGGTCTGTGACATTTTACGTTTGAGAGAAATGATACTGTGAAATAGGAACAATTTGATATTAGGAACCTATTTGTTTTTTTTCTATCTTTGTTGTCAGTCTCCCAGTGTGTGTGATAGTTCAACCAGCGCAAACATTCCTTTGATGCCTTCAAGAAGTCAAGTAGAAACTCAGATGGCCTTAGTTAAAGGTGCAAAGCAGGACAGTCAGTTTATTAGTTCAGTAGGAGCTGATGTCCAGATGATGATCCCAGATGGGGAATTGCTTCACGTTGATGTGGAGACCCAGGTAATTTCTCAAGAAAGTGACTCTGACCAACTCATCCCCAGCAGCAGTGAAAGCCAGCTTACAGAAGCAGAGAACGGTCAGTATGTCCATGCTGAGCAGGTCAGCTACAACAGCGACTTCATTTCTGACCACAAAGATAGTGGCCATACTTTAGTTGGTGATAGTTCTCTTGTAGGTGTGCAAGAACTCTCAGCATTAGAAATTGTGGAGGCATCTATTCAATGAGAATCGAGGTGTGTGTGCTGTTGTTGTGGCTTCTAAGTATTTCAGATCATGAGTACACGGGTTGTATATTATTATAAGACAATTTATTATTATTTCTATGTGTGTTGACGGACAGATTGATATTTCTTTTTATTTCAAGGAATAATTTCTTTGAACTCATAATGAAATAACTGATAATTATATATAAAGTATATTGTTATTTTTTATTTATTTTTATTTTTGTTATAACATTAAATGTTGACTTGAATCAATCAAAATGTGTTCAGATTTGTATTACTTTAATTCATATAGCAACTAATCAATGACAGAAAGTAATATTTCTTATTACACATAGGCGTAATATTTTCAGCCTAATTCAGAAACATCATATAATAATACATTATGATACATGTAATTATCTTCTGTAATTTATCAGAAAGATTTAAAATTGAATGTTCAAAATATTTTAAAACTTCAACTGCTACAAATTATTGTTAGTTTTAAGGAAAAGAAAAGGTTTTACTCAAATAGTTCACTTCTTAAGTGTTGTGGAAGACATATTTAGTAGAACATTTTTGCAATGGTTACATGAAATTGCAAAATATCATAATGAAAAAGACATTTTTGTAAGATTTTTTTTTGGTTATTAAATGGGATATATATTGTATAGCAGCTTATAAGCTGCTGATTAAGATGCATCTAAAGCAAACATCTAAAGTGTTTACCAAACTGTGTTCCTCGGAACCCTTCTGTTACATGCAGCCTAAATAGGTGTTCCATGAACTACCTCAATAATTAACTAATAGGCCACCACGTGAATTAATCTCTCTAAAAAAAAAGCAAAGTGTTCCACAAAATACTTAGAATGTGCAAAGTGTTCAGTCAACTTGGAAAAAGTTTTGGGAAACACTGATCTAAAGTCATGGCAGTGTATTGTATTAACTTAGCACTGCCTGTAAGCTAGACAATTTTTGCTCAGGCCTCTACTAAAAACTGTGAGCAAAATGTGCATTGGGCTATCAAATCAATTAGCTGGCATGAGTAGCTAATAGATTGAGTCAACTATTCGCTAAAGGATACAAAGTATGTTCCCCTAACACAACACAATAACCTGCTATTCTTATAAGTTGTCTTTCAATGAAGGAAAAGTGAAAGTTATATAAGAGCATACAGGTTTTTCTTTTACACATATAAGACTGAAATAAATGTCAATGATTATCTTGATTACATCTTGATATGGCCCATATCTGACCTGTGACATGGTGCCATCAAAACTTATTATGCTTAAGAAGCTGCTTTCATTGGATTCTACATGAAGTGAAGTGTTTATTTAAACAATTATCAAATATAAAATAAACTTTTTTTTTAAACTTGCATTTTATTTGTAAAAATTTCGCTGAGCATTTTCCATTAAAAAAAATGAAAAGGTACTTGATCTGAATGCAAAATTAGTAACAATATTTTTTTGGTAATAATTTTCAAATATGAAACTTATCCCAAAACTGTATCGCATATTTGCATTTCTTCGGACAATAGAAAGTGGGGATAACTAATAACGTGTAACTAATACCCAAGCTTTCATCTCATTATTCAAAACCCTAACCTTGCTCTTTCAAATGAACCATAGTTGATCTACGACTGAATGAGGCCAACAACAATAACAAGTTTGTAGATTCGAAACTCTCATTGTTTTAATAGTTTACTGTATATGAGTAATGTAATCTGGTTATTATATTAGTGTACAACAACAAATAAAAAGAAATCAAAGACTTATTTATTAATCAAGAATTACATAGTAAATCTTGCAGTTTTTATTCTCAATCTTCTGATCACAGACACAAACATTCAATCCACAAAACATTCTCTTTCCCAGTTGCTCAAGAAAACGTAGATTTATATATATATATATATATAAAAACATGTATAAACCCATCAACATTATTTTCTGATAATCATTGTAAACAGATCAATAAGATGTTACAACAGATAGTGTACAACTATCAAATTTGCTAAATGAAATGTTAAACAATAAATAGTTTTTATTAACATATGCTAAGGAGACTAGTGAATATACATACTGATAGAATACTTCTTATTGATCATTATAAAGTAGTTGGTTGTTTTTTTACTTGGCTTATAGTAACAATTTAAAAATTAAAAAAGAGAGAATATATTTATTTTGTTTATTTATTGTGTATCATAATAGACAGTGAGTAATTTCTTTTATACGGAAGCTACAAATAAGCCAATATGATTTTCAAATACTTTGCAGGCATGGATCTTTTAAATACCAAAATGTATTCAATTCTTCATAAAAATGTCAACAAAACAACAACTGCATTGAAAATCAATTAGTTCATTACAGTCTTAAAAGTAAATGACATTATATAAGGGGAAAATGTAAATAAAACTGACCATTGTCCATTAAGTTTCAAATTTAAGTAAAGGTAATGTTAGGGGGAAAAAAGAAATAGACCAAAGCTATTTCTATACAAATGAAATGGAAAATAAGAATTAGCTATTCCTATTTCTTAAAAAAATTAAATTAAAAAGTTACATTATCCAATTCAGCTGATAGCCTGAATACCATAAAAGTATAAAATGTCAACCTCTAGAAAATATACTCATCTTGCAGAATAGTGTTGGACTGGATATGTTTTTCTAAAAAGTTGGTAGAGACAATGTGCTGCTAATTCTTACAAGTGAATCAAGAATCTTTTCTCTGTCGTTTTTCTCTTCTACTTCTCAATTCTTCTTTTTTACTTGAATCTTTTTGTTTGCTGTCACCATCTGGAAATATTATTTCTCGAACAAATCGTATTTTTGAGAAGAACAAGTGCCACATAACTAGCCAGGCTGAAAAGAAAAAAAAAAAAGCTTTTCAACATATAACAGGAAAAATTATATGAAATTGTTCATTTTAATTTTTTTGTTATGCTTTTCAATAGCTTCATTACACTGAAACTAAACATGTAGTGCAACAAGCATATCAACAAAGTTGAAGGTCTACAGCACTTTAATTCTTCTGCCACTGTTATACTCATGAGAGTCATGGACTTAAATTTCTTCAACTTCAACTCTTTTAGTCTGTTTAACTATTTGGGCACCACCCATCAGTTGACCTTCTCATTCAATCCCTCACGGTCTTTTGCCTTGGATAGAGTCTCTTTCAATGACAGACCTGTCCATTCTTTTATGTTGTCTTTTCATCGCTTTCTTTGTTTCTTCTTCTTTTGCCTAGCACTGTTCCTGACGAAGGTCTTTGTGGGTTCTAAGGACCTCATGATATGGCCATAAAGTTTCAGTATGCATTTTTTGACAGTCATTAGTAGGTCACCTGGGGCCCATTCAACGTTGTGAGACTATTTTTACAAAGGTTATATCCACAAACTCTTTCTGGTAAAAAATTTTTGCACGTTATTTTTCCCACACCCAATTTTGGATCAAGCTGAAATTTTGCAAAATTATTTCTTTTACCTGACAATACAAGAATCAATCGAAAAAAATTAATTAACTAATGGGAATTGTAATTTTGTTTGGTATTTTGAGCAAGGGAAAGAAACTGTACTTGACTGATAGGGTGGAATAAATTGAATAAGCCCCCTTTGAGGCAGCTGCTTTAAAGTTTGAAGCTAACAATAGATAACTATAAACCTATTTTTATTATAAGCGATTCGATTCTTCATTTGTGATGCAATCTTTGTAGGTGATAACTATTTCCTTCTATAGCATCTCAATCCTATGGCTAGGATTATCCTCTCTAGTTCTGCAGTTAGTGTACAAGATTTGCAAGCATACAAGAATGTGGCCATGACCAAGGAGCACATCAATCTGATTTTAGTGTTTGTTTGTAAAATGTTTTATATGTTTCGGATGTTCTTTCAGAGTTGAAGATAGTTTACTTCCTAGTCCAAACCTCTTGCAGGACAACGGGGGTTGGAAGCGGGCAGGGTTTGAACCCAGGACCATTGATAAATCCAAACGACAGTCCAGGGTGCAAATTGTTTGACCAGGCAAGCCATCAAGTGTTGAGGGCTCATGACAACAAAGCAGCAAAAAGAGCCAACTAACTTGCAAAAATTAATTAAATCTTCCCTACATTCTAACATCTTTATGAAAAACAAAGGATCCAAATATATTTTACATATAAATAGATTTAGACAAGATTAAACTAATGTAGATTCTTAAAGTAAAAAGTGTAACTTTTTTTATTTTACTATTTTTTTTATTAGACTAGTATTTAATTTAATAATTATAGATGATAGATATATTATTACCAATGACAATTAGAATCAGAGTAAAAGCAATGGAAAATACAACTGTAAGAGACTCTTTAATGAAACTTTCCAGAGTCATTTTAATGATTTTTTCCTAGGACGCCTAAGACTAGAAAGTCAGGCTAAGGGTAAAAGTTAATAAAAGTAGAATCTAGACAACATAGTCATAGAATAATAAATTTGTAGGAGACTAGATTAACTAGATCTACATAGGCAAGCATTATTATTTATAACATTAGATATAGATCTAGGTGCATTTGTTGTTGGCGTTTAAAATGATTAGTACTCCTTCAAATTTCTAGATAGACATAAATCTAGATCTAAATCTGGATGTGGTATTAGTCTAGTTTAAGTGGATGTTTCTAAAGTAAAAGAATCCGATATTTTTGGATTTTCGTTTGTTATGTTTACGTCAAATATTGCCATTAAGGATTCACCTTTAATAAATATCAAAACTAGAAACAACGATCTTGCTTTCTTTCTAAATATTACCTCTTTTGTACTTAAGATATTTACCTTTAAAAATGTTTGTCTTTGTATTATTGATTCTTCTGTGCTTATATTTCAAAGTTAAATTGTATTAAATAAACCTCTATTGAACAAAATTAAACATGGACTTCTTGAAAGGTAAATTATCTGGCTATATTGTGGTTAGTTGAATGTCAATATGGCGACCCACATGACTTTTTGCAGATATGGATACATATATAAATCATCTTCAGTTTTTAGACATAATTTAACACAGAACACACGAAAAAATATTTGTGTATGCTTTTCAAAATCATTGTTAATTTAATGCAAATGTCGTTGTCCGAAAATTAAAGTTTTAATGACTGTCCTCGTATTGTAACTGTATTGACTAGTAGTGTTACAAGTGTAGACTGTAGTACAGTCTGTAGATAGTGTAGTGAACAGTTACAGTAGTTGAGTAGTGTACTGAGTCTAAGTACTCTGCTGAGTGTAGTCACTGTAGTAAAGTAAAAGTTAAGTAAAAGACAAAAGTTAAAACTAGAGACGAAGAGAGAGTAGAGTCTAGGGATCTAAATTTTAAGTTAATAGATTCTATATACTTGAATGACTTGAACTCAAGTACTTGTTCAATTGAGACAATTGTTGTAGACTGTCAGTACTACTACTACTAGTGTAGACTAAGTGACTAAGACTATAAATTATAAATACTATAATCACTTTAGTAGTATAGTGTCTATAGTCATGGTTATGACATAAGTTACATTACAATGATTACATCATCATCTGTGACATTCTGTCCTTGTCCCCCATTCTTTCTGGTTGGCCACAGTTCTTAGCAGAATAATGACTTCTTGTCCATCAGATTTTCTTTGGATG